ATCGCTAAAATAAATGTATGGAAATGTGTGATATCCATGAGGGATGGATAATGCAGCGGTAGACCTCATACTATAGGCGACATATGGCGGTAGACCTCACGCTATAGTAGCACCGATCAGACTTATTTTTCTCCAAAAATTCTCTCATTTTAGAATCACTATAGTACTTTTTTTTTTTTAATAGCATCGGACAAACGTGGAAAACATTCTACAGCTTTAATCAAACATTAACTGATTTCCATTTCTAACAATCTTAATACTGATGCTACATTCCAATTGGTATGATACTGGTTATTTATGGAAAAATTTTAGATTTTTGTCCTTGAACTGTTGGCATCGAACATGCCATATAGCTACAGAGCACTGCAATGTTGAAAATTATGAGTATCTCTCAGCATCTTAGTCTCCTCACCTCTAACTATCTTATCAATTCTTAGCAAGCCTAGTTAAATTCTTTCTCCAAGTACCATGTCAGGGCAAAATGTTAGTGAGCATGACCTTCAACACTTCTGCTTCACTCAAGTTAATCCATTTACTAATACTACTGATGTAAGTTCATCTTTGCCTACCCCTGTTTCATTACTCTTCAATTTTTCCTGTTACCACTAAGTTTTCTAGCTTGTCTTTTCTTATTACATCACCCAGAAACTAGAGTTTTCTAATTTTTATCATTATTTCTGTATGCTTCTGCTCTTCTCAGTACCTCCTTTTCACATGATCTATCTACAAAACCCTCAACATTCTTCTTCAGTTCTTGTAAAAACCACATATCAACTGTTCGTAGTATTTCCAAAATTAGTTAAATTGTCCATCACTCACTACTACATGAAAAAATCATGTAAACACTCTTAACTAGGTCTAGTTTAAACTATCCTAAAGAATATCTTTTAGCTTCCCCCAAAATCCTACCTAGCTTGCTTAAGTCAAGCATATCTCTAGAATATAATTCACCCTTACTATGAAAACTATATGCCAGGTCAAACTAACTCACCTGTTATTCTGAACTTATACTTAATAATTTTCATTAAAGCATTGGACCCTGCTAAGAAATTCATTCTTGCATCCAGACTGATGGTGCAGCACTCCCAAAGAGGCTACATGTCTACAAACTAGTAACAGAATGCTAACTGACCCTACATATTACTATTATTGTACTATTACCTATTAGAGAGAGAAAACTGAAATCAAGGAAGCAAGACAGGAAGGGGATTGAGTTAGGGTAAATTTAATTCTCAGAGTGAGAGTGCTACAATCTTCCTAGAGATATTATTAACTTACTCTCAAGCAAGCAACTTCTGCAAATGTAGTGTACTATAATCCAAAATTCACAATTAATGGCTCTCTCTCTTTAAACCAACCATTAATATCAAAACTGGTTATTAATATTAAAGGAAGAAAACCTCAAGATTTTAAAATTTAAATTAATGTTTCAAACACTTCTCAATTTGGGGAAAAATTAATTTTCTTTATTGCTAATATAAGTAATTAACAAGTAACTTGCAAGTTTTGTAAAACTTTCTAAATGAAACCAGTTCTCAATGTTTTCGATTTCACGAAGATTTCTTCTGAAAATTAAAACTGGTTTCACAAATACAAGTTCTAAATTAAACTGGGATTAAAAATGAACGAGTTTATTTACATACAAAAATAACTGTGGAACACTTACAACTTTCAATTTCACTTTTCGTCCTCGAGCTTTCGCATTTATAGTGCCAACACAGAAGATCTTAACTTCTATTACTATATTTCTATTACTGTTACTAATACTAATATACTATAGTATAACTATCAGTATTAACTGTACAAGATCTATATATTTTTCACAAAACAGAAATCAAAATACACTTCGTTAATCCTTCAGGGTTAAAAATCAAGATTGTTGTATATTTACTATTTTAGTTTTATTTTAACATACCCTACGGTTTATACTTCTAGGGTCTTACCTCCTATACCAAGATCAACTTTTTGTGGAAATTGATCCTCTTTGTAAGATCTACTCAAAGCGAAAATTTCTACAGGTGGGGCTGCTTCGACACAAGAAAACCGCGAAGACATTTTAATCCTAGATATATAACTTTAAAAGTTTAATATTACAATTTACAGTCAACGTTGATAACAATGACATCCACAATTTACGATTCACACCGACCGGTAGAGATATCCAAGTTCTTCAATATGCCCTTGATTGACCTTCTTTTATAGCCGAAGAGGACGCTGTTGTGGTGAATAGGCAAATGTTAGTGTAAAAAAACAAAATAAAATAGGGCAAACAGTCAAAAGTCTTATTATCGGAAAAACTAGTTTCGATACATTCTGTGTTGACTCCCTTTCAGTCTCACGTTGTTTTATGGCAATAAGACTGATCAATAACACCTACATTATCCTAGAACTTCGAATTCCCTGAAGGACACGGATGATCAGTCTGTTATTTAACTATTAAAGCGGCCTTGTGAGGTGTTGAAATTGTACAGGCTTTCGACGATTCTTCCTTATGTGTAGTTAACCGTTTTGCATAAAATTATTTTTTCCAGTCGATTTGATGGGGAAAATTTCTCGTATAAAGAAATATGGCATTGTTTGTGCTTCAATATTTAATGTATTTGAGTGTTTTAACGTTCAGTGTCTACCTTTTTCCGGTTTCACCTAAATAAACTTTCTCACAGGACTGGCATAGTATGATATGGATGCCTTGATTTATCTTCAGGTATTGTTATATTTGAAGTTATCTTTAATGATGCTTGAATATTTGTATATGATTCTAAAGTTATTTTTCCTTAATTTGGTACTTTTTATAGACGCAGTTTTTGTGTTGTAACCAATGTAAAGTGATAAAACAAAACACGAACGTAATGTTG